CCTGTAGAGTTTTATCCCTGTCGCATTTTTGTCCTTGGACCTTTCAGTTGTGTTTTTTTTTCCATTTCCACTATTTGTGCGTACAGTACGAAATAAAGCCAAACAGACGTCGGGAAAATCGCCTTGCCTATCACCGATCGCAAAGCTGAGCTTACAGGCGTCCGATGGGCGATACATACCAAGCACCAGAAAATGATTCGTTCGAGGAGCAAGCATGAATCTATACAGCTAATCTACGACGCTGTTATAGGACTTGTTGGGCTACAATACCAGCCAGTGGCGACACTAACGCTCTACCGCGGAAAGGCTGGGAAATATAAGCTTGTTGGTTCTGGCGGCACGTGACACGACATACCTGTTCATCCACCTTCCTTGCGATTGTTCGTATACAACTTGTTTCTTATGTGCTCTGTGCCGTTTCCTTCAGCTTCCGTTACTTGAACACTCTTCACCGCAAGCTATCAGGACGCGATTATGCAAAAATGGGCACAAACCTAAGGAATTCTGCTCATTGGAAGATTTACTTCGCTCGAAAGATAAGTTGAGTCTACTGTTTCATCAACACCCATTTGTTCCAGCAGCGTACTCTCGCCAGCCGTCTGCTGAAGGTAGCGATCTGAATAGGGGTGGATCTAGGATTTCGTCAAGGAGGGGCCAGGCAACATTGTGAAGCCCCCTGGAATTTGGGGCCCCTCCAAAAAACATCTTTGCATTTCGGTCATCACATTTTAAGTCAAGTCGTATGGTGCATATATATATATATATATATATATATATATATATATATATATATATATATATTATTTAGAACTCGCTCATTTTCTGCAAATCATTTTTTATGCTGTAATTTTGAGGCTAAGTGTTGCGGAACAACGAAAGGCAAAATAAACCTGAGTTGGCTGCTAACAAGCATCAAAACCAAGCATGGACTTGATTCCTAGCTTATGTATGTACGGCTAGCCAGCTGGGCGATGTAATCAGCTGATGACTGATGACCAATGCAGAATGTTTCCTTTGTTACAAAGAAGTATAGCATATCCAAGCATTCAAAATATGTTAAGAACATGATGCACTAGTATAACAAGTGCGACATGCTCAACAACCATTGGAAATGACGCACGACGTCGGCGGCATTTAAAATTGCGTTCGGCAATCACGCGTAAAAATTCGTCGGCGCATATTGAATTGCTGCTTTAAGGCGAAGGCAACAAGGCCAATAGGGACGGAACCTGCGCGATCATGGGTGCCGCAGGAGGCTGACAAAGTGGCTCCCGTCAACAAGAATAGGGCACTTAGAGCAACCAAAAAGAACTCAAGACTAGCGTGATGGGCTCATGAATGACGGGTAGTGCCTCGGCAGGCTGACATATAAAGCTCCGGCCAGAGCACAGAACCTCCCGAGCGAAGGGGAATCATCCAAGGCCATGACTTAATAACCCCTGTGCGAAGTGTGCGCGGCGGGTTAACAACACGAGCCTCGATAGGAGTGAAGAGTCCTCCGCAAATGAGACCAAAGGGAGAGAACCCTCGATCAAAGTAGATGGCCCCTGAGCATCGAGTGTCTCCGCGCCATACCTTATAAAAGCTCTAGCAACAGCACAAGGCCCTCCAAGCAAATAGGAAGAGCCCCAGGCTCAAATGAAGGGCCCCTGAGCAACTAAGTGTTCCATAGCATATGGTGCCTGGAAAAAGCGTAAAGAGCCTTTCGGGCAGTCTCATCAGAGGAAGAGATTGCCCCGGCAAATAGACATATAGGATCAGGAAGCCAACAGCGTATTAAGTCCCAAAATTTCCCAAAACAACACGTTCTTAATCAGCAAAAAATTAACTTGATCTACTTATTAACTCTTCACTTTTGGTAACAATTGCTTTTAGTCGTCTGCAGGCGCAAAGGCTTCCAATTTTGTTGCGTTTTTGTTGTAAGAAAACCGCATCCGTTCGGCCGGTTATGGGCCCCTTCGGAGCCTTTAGGTCCCCTCGGCATGGTCCATGGGGCATGGTCCCGTGCCTCCCCTTCCCCTCTGCACCCGCCTCTGGCCCGAGCAGCTTAATAGATGGGACTCGCCAAGAACATAGGGCCATCCATTCAAAAATGTATCAATTCATTCATCAGAAGGGGACCCACGAGAGAGTAGGGCTCTTCAGCTGAATGGAAAGCACCGAAGGCCACATGTAAATGGCCTCAGAATAGTGGAATGTGCCCGAGCAGCTTATCAGAAGACGCCCGACAAGGGCGTAGGACCCTCTATTGAAATCAGAAATAGCCATAACCCGGTGCGGGAGGCCCCCGAAAATTGGAATATACCCGAGCAGATTGCCAGGTGGCGCAGACAGGAGTGTAGGGCACTAAATTCAAACACCAAGACCCAATATATAGGGCCTGACCAGTTCAGTGCGGCCGAAACGGCGAACAGATGGAGTCCTCGACAAGTGCGTAGGGCCCTCCATTCAGATAGGAAGTACCCATGACACAATGTGGAAGGCCCCGGATATTCGAGTGTGCCCAAGCAGGTCAACAGATGGGGCCCCGGCAAGAGTGTAGGGCCTTCCGTTCAAATATGAAATACCCACGACACGATGCAAAGGGCCCTGAATGATCGAGCGCGCCAGAGCAGGTTAACAGATAGGGTCCCCGAAAAGCGGAGGGCGCTTTGTTTAAAGAAGGAAGTGCACAAAACCAGATGTAGGGGTCCCCCCACGATCGAATAGGCCCGAGCATCTTATCCGAAGAGGCCCGACAGGAGCGTAATACCCTCCATTTATATACGAAATACCCCAAAAAACCGGTGCGAAGGGCCCCCGAAAGATGGAGTATATCCGAACGGGTTACCAGATGACTCTGATGCGAGCAGAGCGTCCTAAATTCAAACATCAAGAACCAATGTGCTGGGCCCCCCAAGCAATCCAGTGTGGCCGAGGAGGCGAACAGAAGGGGCCCCGACAAGTGCGTAGGGTCCCATTCAAATAGCACGTGCCCAAGGCCCAAGGTAGAGGGGCCCCGAACGATCGAATGTACCCGAGCAGGTTATCAGATAGGCCCCCCACAAGAGCGTAGGGTCCCCACTCAGAGAAGCAGTACCCAAGACCCAATGGGGAGGGTCCCCGGACGACTGATTGTGTCCAAGCAGGCCATCACATGGGCCTCCGACGAGAGTGTAGGGCCCTAAGCAAGAGACAGAGAACTGGAAACGCCCTTGACCAATGAAAAGGGCCTATGAGCATATCGTAAGTGTGTCGGTAGGGTAACCGAGACCCACGTGAAGGGCCCCTGAGCAACCGAGAATACCCCGGCAGGTTAACATATGGGGTCCCGGCTATGGCCGCAGAGCCTTTCTGGTGAATGAAAAAAAATCCATGAAAGAGCCCATGGTTGAAAAGAGTGCCCCGGCACGCTAACAGGAAGGACCCCAACAACAGTGCAGAGCTCTCGCAGCAAATGCAAATAAATGAAGGACAACGTGGAATGCTACATAATGATCGTAATGATTTTACAAGTAGACATGTAGATCCCCAGAAACAGCATGGGGGGCCGCTAGACATGTGATGGGGCTTGAAATTTCCGGTTCACAACCTCTCCAATCATTGAATAATTTTTTAACTTCTCATAGGCTGTTCACTTAAGCTTCTAACCGTTCCTGGCCGCCTGGAAGTCTAAAGATAACCAGTTTTGTTACCTTTTGTGTTAAAACACTGCGCCTTTTCGGCCGGGTATGGGCCCCCTCGGAGCCAAGTGGTGCAAGGGGCCATGACCCCGTGCACTACCTCTTTTGGATCCGTCCCTGGGTTTGAAGCCTCACTGAATAATTATTTTGTTAATTATGAAAGGGCCGTCAATTTTATCATGACGTCATTACTTCCAAACTTCGACAGCGAACGTATTTCATAAGGCGTCGAGCTTGAACGGCGCACTTTGCTGCGCACCACGTTTGTCACTGCCGCCTGTTGCAGACGCGAGATGGATGCTGAGTGGTGTGGGTGGGTGTGGTGGTGCTCTTGAGGGAGTCCGGTTTATTTGATCCCTCGTGGTATAAATGGACCGCCGGAGCTCTCCCTAGAGACTTTTTGGTGTGCAGTGGGAAGGAAAAGTACGTGGCACGATGCGGGAGTTCAAGGTCGTCGTTTTGGGCTCCGGCGGTGTCGGGAAGAGTGCCCTAACCGTCCAGTTTGTTTCCGGACATTTCATGGAGAAGTATGATCCTACAATTGAAGATTTCTACAGAAAGGAAATAGAGGTTGATGGCTCTCCATGTGTTCTTGAAATCTTGGACACGGCTGGCACCGAACAGTTTGCCAGCATGCGTGACTTGTACATTAAAAATGGTCAGGGCTTCCTTGTTGTCTACAGCCTCACGAACCACCAGACCTTTCAAGATATCAAGAACATGAAGGAACAGATATCGAGAGTCAAAGGAACAGACAGAGTGCCTATCATGCTTGTTGGAAACAAGATAGACCTGGAGCACCAGCGTGAGGTGTCAACAGTGGAAGGAATGGCCCTCGCTCAGATGTGGAGTGGTCCGTTTCTAGAGACTAGTGCCAAAAGTAAAACCAATGTAAATCAAGTCTTCACGGAGATAGTGAGAGAAATGAATGACAGCCCAGAAATTGAAAGTGGGACCAACTGTTGCTGCACCATCTTGTAGCACTGCGGAACCAGCATGTCCATGGGCCCAGGGACTTCGCAAATCATGGTGAGTTGCCTAATTGTTCACATTGCTGTTCAAAATGCAGGAGTGGATTCAGAGTGTGTTTGGGGTGGGTAACCCTCGCTTGGTATGGTCAAGATCAAATAGGTGTCCAGTGTTGTTCTAAAAGATGGTCACATTCTGCTTCCTCTTATTCCAGTGATTATCATTGTATAACTATTAAGACTTTCTTGCAAGTCCACAAATGTATTTTTCTGCTAAACTTGGACTGTTGGGGAAGGATGCCACAGCTGCTCTACCTTGATCTACCCGTGTCAGAATGGATGTAGTGTATCATGGTTAGCTTACTTGATTATTAAAATTATTGGAGCAAAAAAGATCACTGACTGATGTCAGGCAGACTGAATGGTTCTGACCTGAAATGAGAAGTTCTGTAACATTCTGAGCTGTTCCAAATCAAATGCATTTTTATTGTACTAGGTTTTAACATGTGGTCACATTTCCATCAGCAAATTCAGCATTCCCTACCAGTGCTCTCTGGCTTTAATGCTCATAGAATGCCACATAAGTATAGATACATTGCTTAATATTCTTTCATAATAAAGCATTGTACTATATCAGTGGTACATTTGAATAAAGGTGACATGTCAAAATGAGTGAGAGTTGATTTTCAAAAACATGACATCCACAGCATGTTCTCCATTGTTGTCTTGACTTGATGGGCATATCAATGCAGGCTGGTGTACATTACACAATGATGGCACATGTATTTCATTTGTACTTTTGCAGCAGTCTGCTGTGCTCCTTGCATGCCCCGTGGGTGGCCACCTAGGTGTGTCCTGTCCAGTGTCGGCAGAATGGACCGGTCAGTTTATGTTCTGAGCCGCCCACATATCTATTTCATCAGCACGCTGTCAGCGGCCAGGGTGGCACCATGTCATGCAGCTCCATACAGCTCCCCTGTGGCTCTTGTGTGGTTCGGATTTGGCAGCGGGAGGACAAACCTCTGCCATCGCTGCAGTATGCATGCTCAGTCGGTGCCAGGCTGGTCCTCTGTCTCTCGGCGGCGATGTGTTTGCCGTCGTCCAGCATCGGACCGCCTCCCAGCTGCGTTTGACGGACGCTCCCGCTCGTCGTCCTCGTTCGTTTCCCGGCGCCTTCGTTCGCTTCTCTCCGGCGGCCGGTTCCCAGGGTCGCGACGCGACGCCGTCCGCCGCCCCTCCCCCTCCCCCCCAAACGGAACCCCAATTACTCGGGCGCGTCGCCTGCTCCCCCGCCGCGCACTCGGTACCCCGGGCGTGTACCGCGCTGCGAGACCCTCGCCGCGGCCGGCGCCGCCCCGCTGTTTGCTGCCGAACGCCGGCGGCTCGGGTGGCGGCCGGCGGCGTCCGGCAGCGGGCCCGGCGCCGCCGGCGACCGCCGCGCGAGGGTGCGCGGTGACAAACAGCGCCGGCGCCGGGCGGTGCTGAGTGGCCGCTCCCCGGCGCGCAGGAGGCGTGCCGGGCCGGACCGGGGACGATCACCCCTCGCCGCCGCTGCCGGGACGTACCGGCGGGTGTCGGCGGTTCGGCCCGGCCGGACGGGCGCGTCGCCAGACCCCCGTGCAGTGTGCCGCCGCTCCGGCGGTGGTGCGGCGCGACGGGCCTGCCTCGCCCGCCCAGGACGCTCGCGCGAGGAGTCGACCGCGGCAGCCGCTGCAGCGCCCGCGGTCGGCGCGTCCGGCGCCGGACTGGTCTGACCTGTTCCCCCCCGCCCTCGAGGCTATAATTAGGCTGCCATGCACCGATCGGCGGAGGACGGCCTCGCCGCGATGCAGGACGCGCGGCCAGCTGGGCGAACCGCCGCCCGTCGCTGTAGCGTTCAACTCAGCGCGGGAAGCGGTACACCCGGCCGGCGCCTCGAGCCCGGCCGCCCAGTGTGTGGGCGCGTCGGCGACACGTGTGGCCGATTACAGGCTCGGCGTACGGGACGTCATCGGCTGGCGCTTGTGCTGGCAGCGCCGACGGCCGGCCGGGGCCCACTCCGCGGTGCTGCGCGGCTCTTGCCGTCGGCGGGAGCGCGGAGGGCGGGGCCCCGCCGGCCGGCGGGACCCACTCCGCCGTGCCGCGCGGCTCTGCTGTCGGCGGGAGCGCGGAGGGCGGGCCCGCCGGCCGGCGGGGCCGCTCCGCCGTGCCGCGCGGCTCTGCTGTCGTGCGGGAGCGCGGAGGGCGGGCCCGCCGGCCGGCGTGGCCCGCTCCGCCTTGCCGCGCGGCTCTGCTGTCGGCGGGGAGCGCGGAGGGCGGGCCCACCGGCCGTGCGGGACCCTCTCCGCGGTGCCGCGCGGCTCTTGCTGTCGGCTGGAGCGCGGAGGGCGGGCCCGCCGGCCGGCGGGGCCCACTCCGCCGTGCCGCGCGGCTCTTGCCGTTGGCGGGAGCGCGGAGGGCGGGCCTGCCGGCCGGCGGGGCCCGCTCCGCGGTTGCCGCGCGGCTCTGCTGTCGGCGGGAGCGCGGAGGGCGGGCCTGCCGGCCGGCGGGCAGCGGCCGCCGGTCCGCCCGGGCTAGGCCGGATGGCCGGCCCCCGCACGGCCAGTCTGATTACGTTTGACTTCAGCCGAGCTTTGCTGCTTTCCCCGACCGCGTAAGCCGCGCGGTATTCCTGACTTGTTTTGGGGGCAGCGGCAGCTTATGGCCGTGTAATCGTCTCCACATGATAATGCTTTGTTTGGCCGCCGATGATCAGCATCGGCCATCTCTCAAGACGCTCATTCAGACAAGCGTAATGGGTGTTGTGGAACACCTCATGCGCTTGGTTAGCGGTGAATCAGGATCGATGGGACAGATAAATGAGCAGCCCGCCAAATGGGACGGATTGCTGTCAACAAAACATATTCCAGTTTCAGTGTTTTGTCTCCGAAAACTATGCCTTTCGGGCATGCGTTTGGTTTTATCTGGCGGCGTGCCCAACACTTGAACATGCCACTTCTGGCTAGACACAAGGTACAAGATCATCGTGTTGAAGGTCGCCTAGATGTAATGTTACCGGTGTAGCCATTTTAATAAGTTACCTCATTAGCCTGACGAACTGCCGGGATGTTGGTGTGGTCGTAGGGTGACTGTCCCTTGTCCTGCCACTTAGTCACCTTTCCCCTGAACGGCATCATAAAATGTAATGCTACTCCGGCGCATAGATAACCGTGCTGCCGGTGGTCTTTGCGCCAGAAGACCCGCCCGGCCCGTGTGCACGCGTTTTTCTGGCCCGGCTGCCCCTCCCTCGCCGCGGCGGCCCTGGCCACGGCCCGCTCTGGGACAAAAACGTCGGCGCCCCCTCGTTGCCCGCCGCCGCGGAATTCGGGCGCGAACCGCCGGTCCGGTGGTAATTGGCGGCCGCTTCATAAATTTTCGTCGGCCGACCGGTGTCGCGCCGCTAGAAGGTCGGGCCGGCGGCGCGCTGGCGGCGCGAGGGTGCAGTGGCGCCGCCGGCACCGGTCGCGCCGCAGGTCGGGTCGGCCGAACCGGGTGCAGAGCGGCGCAGGCCGGCCGGATGGTGGCGACGCTTTGCTTCTGTCCTGCGGCGGCCGCGCTGTTCAGTCCTCCACGCGCCTCCTGCTGGGGGAGCGGGTCCCGCGCGCCGTGGCCTCGGGTCTCGCGACACGGACTGAACCATGCGTCCGTCGCTCACCGGCGTCCACGTTGAGAGTTCACCTGTAGTTCCCCAGAGGCGCGCGTCCGCCCGCCGCCGCTGTCCGCCCGCCGCCGTCCGTCCGCCCGCCGCCGTCCGTCCGCCCGGCGCCGTTCGTCCGCCCGGCGCCGTTCGTCCACCCGCCGCCATTCGTCCGCCCGCCGTCATTCGTCCGCCCGTCGCCATTCGTCCGCCCGCCGCCGTTCGTCCGCCCGCCGCCATCCGTCCGCCCGCCGCCATTCGTCCGCCCGCCCGTTTGTCGGCCCGTCCGGGTGGCGGGCGCGGCCAGGTCGGCAGCGACGAGTCGGTTGTTATCCAAAGCCGCTCTCGTTGTAACGGGCCGTGTTTGTTATGCGGCCGCCTGTCGTGGCGCCGCCAGCGGGACCCCGGTCACGTTAGCGCCGCGCGCCTTCCGCTCCTCTGCGTGACGTCACCGGCAGGGTAACGTCAGCGCTGCGTGGCGGCGGGGAGTTGGGAGCGGAGCTGACGTCGGGGACGAGAGGTCACCGCCGACTGGTGACTGACTGGGGTGGGGAGAGCGGTGGGTGGGTGTGATGGGTCCGCACCTCTCACAAAATGCCAAAGGTGGCACTGCTACATTTCAAGACTCTTGGCGGATTTATCCGTCTCCCCGCCTACCGCCCCCGTTGCCGCCGCCTCTGGTTCCGGGCGTACCGGTGGTCCGGGAGGTCTGTCGCTGGTGAGAGAGCTCTAGCCGACACGGATGCCACGGGGTGGGGATGCTCCCTCCAGAGATGTTTTCGATGGTGGAATGATTGCGATCTTCGCTTAATGATGGCACCGGGCCATAATATTTCATTGGAGCTTTAGATCGCGTTTGAGCTTCAGTTTTTAAAGTGATGCTGTTACAAGTTGGAGATTAGTTTCATGAGGCCACCGGGAAGAAACGGTTCGGTGTTGATGGGGCTGCCTGGTGATAAATGTGATGGGATTATTGGGAGGGGAAAACGTTCGACGGAGATTTAATGACGTGCTCCACTCGGTGTGTGTGCTGCACATTTTGATGTCGGGGTAGCTTGGAAGAGCCGTTCCTCCCTGTGTTCTCATTTCCTAAGAATAAAGTATAAAATATTTTTCCTCGTCTTTCGGTGTGCAGGTCATCAATCATTCGGAGCTTTTTTTAGTTACTGCACTTAGGCGAAGCGTGCGCTTTGTTGAGCTGGGCTATATATCATAGCGGCTGGCCCGGATGCGTAGCGTTGCTATATTAATAATGTCCCAGGCTGGTGCCTGATTAATGCTCAGATATTCTCATCATGTTATGTTGCTCACGGTAACTGGCGTCTCCTAACACTATCCCCCGATGCATCTGTTGTTGATCAAAGCTTTTCCCCAGTCCGCAAGCCCCTCATCGCACCGGATGGTCA